GTTGTAAAAAACACCCGCACCGTGCCCGGCCATCAGTTATAAGCCAGACAGCTGTGAGAAGGATGGAAGTGTCTAGAGATCTCGTTCGGGGCTGTTTGCATTACGACTTCAAAGTGGGCTTATCAGCAGCTGCATCTGAAGTCGCCGCATATGTCAAGCGTTTGGGGATAGTGCTGTGGATGAACGTACTGCAAGGCGTTGGTTTTTTGATTTGTCTCTCCATGATGAGCCTCGCAGTGGACGACCACAGGTCTTGAATGAGGGAGTCCTGAAGGCGACCATTGAAGAGGACAGTAGTCTAACGTGTGGTGAACTTGCAAGACAGTTCAACGTTTCCGATGAAACAGTTAGACTTCACCTGCATTGCCTAAGTAAGACGTACAAACTGAGCAAGTGGGTTCCGCAAACGCTGTTGGAGGTCCACAAGGGAAAACGAGTGGCAGCCTGCGTATCGCTGCTTTCTCGCCACCGTACCGCATCCTTATTCAATCGAGTGCTTACCAGTGATGAAAAGTGGGTTCTGTACGAAACTCCCAAGCGTTCCAGGAATTGGTTGTCTCCTCAGGATGCTGTCCCTCACACCGCAAGACCGCCTATGCACCGACGCAAGATTATGCTTTGTGTCTGGTCGACAGGTCGTCAAGTGGTTCCTTATGAACTGCTACCAACGGGCCAAACGTTCACTGGAGACGTATACTCGCAGCAATTGAAACGTGTGCAACAGACATTGCGCCAGAAGGGGCCAGCACTAGTGAATCGCAAAGGTGTGCTTTTCTTTCATGACAACGCCAGGCCGCATGTCGCGCGAGTGGTCAGAGATACCAGCAACTTGGGTGGGAGACTTTGTGCCATCCACCTTATTCACCTGACCTTCGCCATTCGATTACCACCTCTTCCACTCCCTGGATAATCATCTTCGAGGGAAATTCTTCACCAATGAAGCAGACTTCCGCAAAGCACTGACGGACTTCTTTGCGTCAACAGCCCCCGAGTTCTACCGCAAGGGCATTGGACAGCTGGAGACAGGTTGGCAAAAGGTGCTGGATGCCGATGGCGATTACTTCGAAGACTAAATATAATTTACACATACTGTGAAACGTTTTCTTTTTTTCCTTTAAAATAGACAGAACTTTTTTGGTTACCTTGTATAACATATAGAAAAGAACATAAGATACAAGGATAGATATTATATATAAGGATGGATGTGTTACAGTTTTTTGTGTATATATATTTGTGTGACTAGTGAGTTAGTCAAAATGACTTAATTCCCTTTATAGTCTACCAATAGAAGAATAACCAATCAGAAGCCGCAGAACATTGTATCCGTCGTGTATAAAGGCGGCCATTTTTGTTTATCCTACACGAATGACCAGTGCCAACTTGTCAGGCGAAGATGACAGAAGGAAGAACTACGCTCTGCTACTTTGCTGCGATATCCACTGCTAACCTGAACTACGCTTTCCTACTGTCTCCGAAATATGCATTGCTAACCTCTGGATTCTATACTCGATGACGACCGTCAAAATGTCTAACAGGATGTGACATACAACGAGAGATATGATAGTGATTTTCTAAGCACAGCTTAGATGTGGCACAAGGCCGAAAGCAGGGGGCACATAGTGAGGATCGGACTCACTACTCAGTCTTAACGGATCTAGCGAGACCAGCTTTCTAACCATTACACCACGTCGAGGTGACCCAACGATAGATATGTTATATAGAGACGAACATATGACACAATGATAGATGTAACAAGATAAGATACAATGATGAGGTGAATATGACACAGAAGAATAGATATAATATACAAGTATAGATATAAATATCTAAGATGGATATAACATACAATGGTAGATATAACACACATAACTTAATATAGAAGGATGAAGTTAACTTACAAAGAAGAATACGCCATAAAAAGATGGATATGTCATAGAATTCTAGATATAGCATAGAAGGATCGATATAAAATACAATGCTACATGTAATATACAATGATGGATAAACATAATCAAGGATAGATTTAACTTGCAACAAGTGTAGATAGAGCATACAAGGATGGATGTAACGTACAAGTATAAATATAAAACACATATAAAGTTCGACAATTATTTTAAGAAATTTTTTTTCGTTTATACGTTCTTTTCTTAGAGACAAATATTTCAGTAAATGCTCTGTTCATAATAAACAGTATTAACGACAGTTACCGACCTGAATGTACGGGAAATTTTCATAGAAAATATGCGTCCTTCGAAAATATGCGTTTATGAAAATTTCTCGGGCATTCAGACGGGTAAAAGTCGTTAATACTGTTTATTATAAACAGAGCATTTACTTAAATATATAAAAAAAAACGTATAAAATGTCCGAGAGAGTTTCATGGGAAATATGCCTCCTCCACAGGAATCGAACTTGTATCCTATACGGAACCGTCATATAGCTTGAAGTAATTTTACCGATTTCACCAGAAGTGAGTTTCGGTTAGCAAGGTCGATTTTACTGTTTTTAAACTACAATTCTCTATGATTTTCTCTCGTACATTCATATCTGCTCGATGCGCATGCAAATGTAAACAAATGACGTCACACATTATGAAATGAACACAGTCCAACAATTATTTTAAGACACATTTATGTTTATCTATAAAAAGAACGTATAAACATAAAAAACAAATGACGATAGACAAAGTCCGACAATTATTTTAAGACACTTTTATGTATATCTATAAAAAGAACTTATAGATATAAAA